TTCTTTCTCTTTCAAAAGGACAGAAATTACAATGCCATTTATCTCCTCTCTTCAGCTCATTAACTTGATATTCTAATTTCATGCTATTTATTCTTTTACAAGATATAGGTTTCAAATTTTCTCAAGTCATTTCTTTTATTTGGCTAACTTTGTTCTTTACTTTATTAGTTAGAAGTTTAAATTTGTTTTCTTTCTTTGGTAAAATTGGTAGTTTTTGAAGCTGCTTATCTGCCAAATATTTCTATTATGTCACAATTTTTTCCAACAATTCTATTCGCCTAGAAGCCTTTTCTAAGTTGTCATCTTTTTCTTTATTTTGTCTTATTCTTCACTATCTAGCCAATTCAAGAGCATCTAAATGACATTCAGATGTTTCCTTCTCTAATTCTAATACTTCTTCTAATTCTTTAATCTGTCCCTTCTTTTCTTTTAACTTTTCTTTATATTCCTGCTTTTGTTCAAACTTTTAGGAATTTAAATTACTGATTTTTGACCAACTTCCTGTATATTCTGAAGCTAAGTCATTTGAATAATCAATAAAATCATTTAGCATTTTTTCAATGATGATGTTGTCAAATTAAACTCTTTTACAGTTTTTGACTCATTCTCTTGTTTCATTAGGATCTACTGCCATTTTTAATTTTCTTTTATCTAATCATTTCTTATTTAATTTCTTGTATCATCATGTTCCCTTAGGAGCATACATACTAACTTCACCCTTGCCATTAAGAGACTGGCCAGTAATATGTTAGATTTTTAATTTAAGTTCTTCTATTGATTGTTCTCTTTCTTGATCTTTATCAGCTAACCACTTTTCTAAATCAGCAATTTTATTTAATAGTTCTTTATTTGCTTGTTGCTATTCATTTATTATATTTTTTATGATTTACTTGCTTGTTTCTTTTTATATTTATTTATTTAATATACTTATATCCTTTTTGTAAGAGTATATTAAGTATATCAATTATTTTAGTACTTTTTTATTTTAAAAGTGGAATATTTGTCAAAAGATTAAACTTATTAAACTTAATGACAGTGAAGGATAAATTAACAATTTATGAAGTTATTAGAAGTGATTTTATCCTAAATATTTTATTCATTGCCAGTATAGATTAGTCTTAAGTAAGTAATATCTTTAAATTCATTTCTGACAAATGAGTGAATATTATGATAAAGATATTCTTGCCTTTTATAATCTAAAGAAGGTGGTGTTAACACTAAAATAGATAAAGCTCTAATTTCTTCAAAAATATCTACTTTCTTGATTTTCAATAAATTGAACTCAACAAAAGGCCTATTAGCAACTTCTTGAACTTTCACTGTACTAAGATTAGATGCTTCAAAAAGAAAATGTTAATATTTCTGTATACTTGATAATTTCTTAATATAAATTCCCAAAATTGCTTTAATATCTAAGTATTGAAAACCTTTTCCACCTTCGTAACATTGAGCTTTATTCAATCCTGCTAGATTTGACTTTTTTATCACTTCAATCACATAATCCAGACAATCTACTCTAGTTCTTCTATAGAGTTTTTTAATTATCCTAAAATTACCATCACATTTAAATTTAATGTGTCTAGAAATTATGAAATTCAATTTAATACTTTCATAATAACCACAAATTATTAAATACAAGTAAAACTAAAATGTTACATTATTTTTATTCTGTTTTCTAGTATTATCACAAATAATCTTTAAATATTTTTCACCCTTATTCAATTTTTTAATTCCATCAAAAATTAGACTAAGTGTATCATTTGAGCCTTTTCCTATAATTTTATCTTTATTAAAAACATAATTAATTTGTTCCCTTACTACTTCATCTTGAATATCAAATAAATGAACTTTACATAAACTAAGATAATAAATTTTACTTACTTGTTAATCTAAATGTAGCACATGAATATTTTGAGCCTAATAATAACTATAATGAGCAGTAGCATTAATACTGTAATATGACATTTTACCCTTAGAATAATTTTGATTAACTGATTTTCTTTATTCTTCTGTTAATTTTGTATTTTTATTATAATAATTTCTTTCTGATTTGGCCTTGAATAGATGTTCTTTAAATTTTTTAAGTAAATCTTTAGCTTCTTTCTCTTGGTGAGCATTATAGTGTAAACTATCTTTAAAATGTTAATAAGTATCATACAAATCAGTTCTTGGACTTATAATTTAAATCTCTGATGTCAATTGATATCACAACTTTCTGAAAGCATCATATTTTAAGGATTTCAAATTACTATTTTCTTTCAGATCAGCTAAAAAATCTCTGTAGACTGATTTATAACTTATTTCAGCTGATAAGAATATAATTGATTGAGTTATTCTATTGATACTTCTTCCTAGACTTGGTAATCCGTAAACTTCTACATAATTTTCTAGAAAATTCTTTGTTATTTCAGCAACATTCTTATCAATCATCATTTTAGTTTTCTATTGAGGCATTCTTTTAATATTATCATGAATTCTTGGTAGAAGACCATTATTTATCAGATGATTTCTGATATTTTCAAAGTAAGTTCTACCAATTCCCAATATATTGAGGTAAGTTTCTTAACAAAGAAGTGTATTATAATCTCAGTGATAGAAAATTCTTTTGTTAGATTTATTTTTCTTTTTAAGACATCTGCTAGTGCTTACTGTTCCTCTATCCATTACTTTAATCTATGTCATTAAAAATATGTCTTGTTCAAACTTGGAAAGAGCTCAAAAGGATTCCCTTAATACTGCAAATTCTTTCTTAAGAATTCTGGAAAAGCAACCACATTTACAACTTTTTTCTAAAAAATCAATTGCTTTTTCATATTCATTAGAACTATTATATTTATCATTTTTATTATTACTTTTCATATACCTATAACCCTATATATATAATTTTATGTTATACTTTGTAGTTTTTTTATTTCAAAATTTTATGTAATGGAATAACCTTTTATGCAAATAGTCATTTTTGTGTTTTTACTAGTATCATTATCCACAATAAATTTTAAGATATTATTTCAAGGTTAGTTTCTTTATTATGTTCAAGGAAATTTTTATTTATTATATTAATATAAATAAGTTGAAAATAAGAGAGGGGAAAGTTAAAGGTCTATAATATTACTTTGAAATACTATTATCAAAATATTTGATTCTTAAAAAGTCCTAATGTTAAAAATATTGATTAAAGATTCCATGTGCTTTAAATTCTCATTGTTTTTAGTCAAAAAATTATCAAATGAATAAGTTGCATTTAATAAAAAAATCAATTATTTAAACAACGTTTTTTTCTTTTCATTATTGCTTTTCTCTTTTTTTCTGAAGTGACATCTAAATCATCATCATTTAAATTTATTTGTTCACATAAAAGTTTATTGATAATAGTAAACACTTAATAAACTTCATTCTTGAGAGTTTCTTAGTTAATACTTATCTTGTCAAATGATATATAGTAGATATTCTGGCTGGTTGCAATAATATTATAATTTGCAGAGAAAGCAATGAAAAGCCAAGTTGTAGCATCAGTTACAATTCCATAGACTGTGTCATTTGTATGCTTACACTTGCCATTTTCCTGTTATAAAATAATATGTAGTTCAATATTTGCCATTTCTTTTAGTAATTAGTAAAAAATAAACTGCAATATACCTGAATAACAGCTTCCAATTGAACCAAATTTTGGGTAATACCTGCAGCCAAATTCTGTATATTTGCTTCAGTAATATATATGACATTTTGTTAGTAGTAAATCTGGAAGTCCAAAGGACCTCAACTATATGTCCTAGCTAAAAATTGTTCAATACAAACACCAATTTCATCTATACCTTTCTTAAGTACTTTTCAGCAATAATGAACAATATTGTGAATTATGCTAAATATAAATTCTGATCAAGTTGCTTCATTACTATCACTGAGTATATCCAAATTGTCTTGTCATTTCTGCATTTAGAGAACACAAGTAAGTAAATTTTGTTTTCCAATTAAAAAAAAGAAGAGTGGTTAATACTACCTTGAGTTCAGTCATCAATTCTTCCAATACATTTTTTTCATTTTCATTACAATCTTTACTTTCTGCAAGTAATAATAACAGAAATATGAATAAACTATTAAGTCATATTAATATTTAAATAAATATAAATGAATACCTTTTGGAATAACTTCCATTTGGGAAATATCTTTGATAATCTCATAGTCAAGGTTGAAACAGCTTGCAACTGTACTGAAACTTTTATAACTGGAAAACTGCTTTTATGCTGTAAAACAAATTATTGAATAGTGAGAAACATTGCTAATAACAAATACATTGTTTATCTTTAAACTTACATGTTTTGACCTTGAATAAAAATTTTATAATATTTGAAATAGGAGGTATCAATTTTCAGAGTTTTTTAATAATCATGTTCAAGGTATCTTGATTAACAACATTTGCATCATCACTAGTTAGAATAATCGAGATGGTTTCACTTAGTGTGTCCTCTATAGCTTTATCCAATTTACTCTGAATTTTTTGCTGAAGTTTAAACCAATCTACTTTATCATTAAAGTATAGAAAATTAAAATTTCTAGTGTATCTTGAAATGTTGCGCACTGCATTCCAGGCCAATCAGTTCTTGAAATAGATTATATAAAAGGTTAGTTCTAGTATAAACAAGCATAAAAAGTAATACTATTAAGAGGTAGAATAATTTTACATATTCATTGTGCATTACCTGATAAATCTTTTTTTCTAGTAGTTTCAAGGGTTATCAATTCTTCTACTAATTGTTAGAAACAATGAAAAGAAAAGCATAAATTGGTCAATTTTGTAATAATATATCAAATAAATAAATAAACAAATAGAAAATAATTTTTTATATATTTTTTACGCAATTTGTTCATTACCTTCTCCTTTATTAAACTTAGATAATTCGTTCTTCCACTTCACCACCTGCTCCTACTTGTTGTTCATATCCTTCTTCAACTCTTTTTTTTTCATCTTTCAACTTTGCTATTCATCCTTCCCACCTTTTCTTTTATTCTAAATTATCTTTCCATTCTTTATTGTCCAACTTCTTCTCTAACTCATTCAATGTCTTCTCTAATTCCTCTACCTTCTCCTCTGCCTTCTTATGAACATTCTTTGCATTATTTAATTCTTGTTTGATTTCTTCTTTTATTACTATTATTTAAAAAAACTAAAAGATTTAAAAAAAATTTTTTTTTGATTTAGATTGTAATTATTATAATTAATTATTTTTATAAATAACATTCAAACAGGCACTTAATAGAAATGATGTAAAAGATCTATATAGTACTATAATGAAGTACTGTTCTACAAAGTTCAAATCTAGATTAAATAAACTTAGGAATGATATAGCCAATGAGAAAGGCAGATAGACAATAAATATATTCAATTTTTCTTAGATTATTTTAAAAACAAAAAAATCAACGCTGATGATATATATAATAATAAGAAAAAATCTGCTATATCTAGGGTTTCTAGCAAGTATTATCATACAGTAAAAGATGATCTTACATTCTAAAAAAATTTCTAGGACATATCAAAAAGGTGGGATCTTATATTGAGTCTTTGATGAATATAATAAATTGAGTATGCAAAGATAGGTACAAAAACTTATTTTCTAGTATAGATATGAATTTTTTAAATCCTATTTATGTTAATCAACCCATATCTTCATAGAAGGATGTTATCCAAAAATTTTTTCATTATCAAAAAAAAAGATAAAATTTCAAGAAAATACGTTTGAAAGATTATGTAATAAGAAGTAAACTGGAAGAGATATATGGTTGCATAGATAAGCAACTGAAATGCAAAAATATTAGTTATATACAGTATATTGCATGTGGAATTGAATGTATTAATCAAAATAATAAACAATGACAAGGAAAGGAAATTTATAGCAGTTTTCAAGAGATACTGTTATTTATGCAAATTGAATATCAGATTTGCACAATCCAAAGACATAATATTGCCTTTTCTGGATCACACAAGAAATTATATTATGGATGGAAACTTTTAGAAAGAATTATGTCAAATACTCTATTTGATCTTGATTAGATCATAAAGCGTAAAATTAAAAGTCATATTAGTATAAATACTAAGTCTGATAATGGATTTAAGAATCTAAATTATGATGATATTGAATTTATTGATACTTTAGATAATACCTTCAAATTTTAAATATTCAAGTATAATTAAATTTCCTTTGTAAGAATAAAGGAAATATTTTATCAATAAAGTATAGCACTTGGCATATACATTTAAAAAATTTGAAGTGAAATTTTATTTTGTAATAAATTATCATTTAGAATAGTAAACATTTAAAGAAGAAAGCATCTCGAGCCCTAAACTATGAGATGCAATTCCTTTCCACTATTCCGAATTACTACCTAAATTATCATTATTTTTAATAAACCAAGTACTGGTAAGCCTATCTTTCGTTTTAACATTTCTCTCATAAAAATCCTAGAACTTTATTTTTAATTTTCTGTCTAATACACGAATTTCCATTGCTACATGTTTCTTCTAAGTTAAGACCAGACCAATTAAAAGGTTTGTTTAACATTTTATTCTTCATTTTATTTAAGAAAAATTTTTTATCTTAAGCTTTTTTCTTGCAATCAAGAGAAAGAAAACACTATATCAGTGAGTAGTAATATGAAAGTTTATCACATAAGATGAATATAATTTTATTTACTAACTAAAAGTTAAAAAAAATATGTATTCTGAAAATCTTTTTTTTTTGTATTTTAAATAAAGTTTATTGTAATACATATTGTTTTAAAATAAAAATCATAATTATAGAATTTTATTTGAATTTTAGTTAATTTAAAAGTTATATTTCCAAGTTTGTATTTTGGTAATTTTTTTGGTAATTTTATTTTTTTCATTTAAAGCTTTTTAGAACTAATAATAATGGTAATAAATATTAATACTGCAAAGAATGCGAGAGAAATCTTTCTTTAAGCATGTTAATTACTAGTAAAAAAATCATACAAATCTTATATAATATGTTACAAATAAGGCAAATAATGCTAAAACTGCTGATCAAATATTAATTGAGTTAAAAGATATAAATTTTTATTGGAGATTCTTAATGCATTTAAAAAAGATGAAAATGAATCTGAAAACAAGAAAATATAGGGAATCAATTTTTTTGTACTATAAATATTGTTACAATAGAAGAAAATTCTAAGGAAAGTACCAACCACATTATAAAAATAATGTCTAATATAGATGATTATGCATAGATATAAGTCAATTTTATTTTAAATGCAATAGATTTTTTAATTTATTTTACAATAAAATAATTTTCAATCATATTTATTTTTAGTTTAAATAATCTAAGATATCATCACATGTATGAAAACAAGTCAAAGTTAATAACTTATTTTTATCATTGTTTTCAATGGGAAGGTTTGGCCAAAAAAAAAACACTTAGATTTTCAAAAACATTGTGATAGAAAAATAAGGATTTTACTTAAAGATATTAAGAAAATTACTTTTATTACTAATAAAGGTTTATATAAATTTATAATAATACTATTTGAATTATGCAATATTCTAACTACTTTTTAAAGAACTATAGATATTATTTTTCAAAAAAAAAAATAAAAGTTTATTAAACTTTATATAAACAATTTAAATATTTACTCAAAAATATTTTAGAAATATTTATAATATTTATAATTAGTTTTTAACTTTATTAGAAAAACCAATCTAAGGATTAACTATATAAATATTACTTTTATACTAATAAAATTAAATTTCTTAGACATATAGTTAATAAAGAGAGAATTCAGCCTGATCTTTCAAAAATTGAAAAAGTTATTAATTATTCTAAGTTTAGGAATTTAACTAAATTAAGCTTTCTAAAATTAGTTTTTTACTATAGAAGATTTATAAAAGATTTTTTTCAAAATATCAGCTCTATTATATAAACTAATAGAAAAAAAGAAAAGTTATACATAAACTGATAAATTATAAAAGGTATTTAATATATTAAAAAAAAAATTAATAATATTACTAATTCTCATATATCCTGATTTTAATAAATCTTTTATTCTATTTACTGAAATTTTTCATATTAGTTTAGAAGCTATACTATCTCAAAAAGGTGATAATAAAAAAAGCATGTAATTATGTATACTAATAGATCTTTAAATATAGTTGAAAAGAACTATAATATAACTGAATAGGAATGCTTAATTATTATATAGGTAGTAAAATATTTTAGGCATTATATATTTGAAAATAAATTCACAATCATTACTGATTATATAGCTTTATAATAGTTATTAAATACTGATTCAAATGTAATAGAAAATAAACAGATAATGAGATAAAGATTTATTTTATAAGAATATAGCTATAAAGTTAAATATAAAAAAGAAAATTATCATGAAAATACAAATGTCTTATCATAAATAAACCTAAATAATTTTGATCTAATACAGAAAAACATATTATTCCTATTAAATTTTAGATTTTTTAATAATAGATAATAAATTTTATGAAAATATTTAAAAATTCTTATTTACTTATCAGATTTAAATATCTCTTAATAGATTAAATTACAAAATGACTTAACTAATATTTGATGAAAAATAATTTATATATAAGTAAATTAGAGATAAAAATAAAAGAATAATCCTATATAAACAAGTATAAATTATTCTTTATAATATTCATAAAGATATAATAAGAGCTTATTTAGAAATTAAAGTTATTTATGAAAAATAAAAAAGATATTATTGGTCTCAGATATTTGATGATATTAAAAGTTATATCTAGTAGTATAATAATTATTAGAAGAGAAAATTATTTAGGAGAAAAGAAGCTTTGTAACTAATTAAAGTTAAAGTACCTTTTCATAAAATTAAAATTAATATAAAAGAACTATTACTTAAAACTTTACAAAAAAATTGTTACATAATTTTTGCTATAAATTATTTTATAAAATAGCCTAAAGTGAAATCAATATCAAATATTAAATCAGAAACAATTACAAATTTTATTTTTGATAAAATTATTTGTAAATATAATTTTTCAGAAGAATTTTTATCTGATAGAGATATTTCTTTCTTAAATAAAATAATAGATACACTTTATAAATAATTTAAAATAAAATATATACTTAATTCTACATATAGATTATAAATAAATGTTATCATTAAAAGATTTAATAAAATAATTAGTAAATGCTCTACCAAATTAATTGCTAATAAAAAAAAAAATAGGATAAATATATAGAATTAGTTTTATTTGCTTATTGTATAATAAAACATAATACTACTAGTTATATATCTTTCTACCTACTTTATGAAAGATAGATAAAATTATTAATTAAATTAAAAATTCTAATAGAATTAAGTAATAATAATAATATTAAAAATGTATTAATAGAATAATTATTTATAATAATTAATCAATTAAAAAAATAATTAAGTAAATTATTCTTAATCAAATTAAGATTGATTAGCAAAAGCAAAAAAATTGATATAATATTGACATAATATTTGAAAAATTTAAAATAGGTAATAAAGTATTAATAGAATGCACATAGTTTAAAACTAATTTTTCTACAAAATTAAAGAAATATTAAATAGAACTTATTTCATATATAAAATGCAAGACAAAAATTATAAATTAAAAAATATGAATAAAAGATTAATTAAAGATGTAATACATAATGATCAATTTAAAAAATATTACAAAAATATTTTGAAGTTTCAAATATATATATAGGACTACTTTTTTTTAATTTAAAATTTAAGAAATATAATTACCTTTTATAATCTTATAAGCTTCAATATCTTTAAAGTTGATCTACTAAATATTCTAGTAATTTTATCTTCTTATAATAATAAAAATTATCTAAAATTAAAATTAAAATTAACCTACAGGTAAATGATTTAATCTGCAAAATTACATCAATATATTCCTATTTTAACTTATATATATTATCTAGAAATATTAATTAGTTTACATAAAATTTTTAAAGATATCATTAGAAAAACAATTATATCTTATTATAGAAGAATATTAAAACAAACTTATTTATTTTTGAAAATAACATTTTTCAAATTTATTAATCAAAATTTACAATAATGTTTCTAATTGAATAATTAAAAATAGTTGAATATCAGTTACTTTATCAACTATTCTAACTTTACAATAGCTTAATTTTTCAAGAAAAAATAGTTAATAATATAGAAAGCAATAGAATTTTATTTAGTAACATAATAAAAGTAGTAAAATTTTATTTTTTTTTAGTTAAAAACACAATAGAAATTTATTTTTTATTTTTATTTTAATTACTTTTATAGTATTTTATTATTAATTTATTTTGTTTTAGTCATCATTTTATTGGATAATTTTTATAATTTTAAAAGGCAAAAGTATAGTAATATACATAATTTTATTGATAGATTTAAAAAAAAAAAAATACATATAAGGTTGCTTGTTTAAACTCATTTAAATTTTAGTTTTGCTAATTTTATTAAGGTTTTGATATAGTTTTACATTTTTATAAGCTTTGGTATAGTCAAGGTTGGGAAATTAGTACAGTTAGTATAGCTTAATACAGTTTAGTACAGTTAGTACATATAATAATTAATATAAAATTTAGTATAGTACAGTACAAGTACAAGGTCAAAATTTACCTAGTATATACAAATTTCCCAATCCTGGATATAGTTTTATCTTTTCTAGAATTTCGCAGATATTTTAATAAAGTTTAATATAATTTCTTTAAATTTTACTTTTTTCTATTTAGACGATTTAAAAAACCTTTAAATTTTGTCTAGTAATCTTAAATATATAAATAGAATAAGGTAGAAAAAGAAGAAAAGTACAATTAATTTAAATTTCAATATATAGAAGGCTAGAAATATATTAATTATTTAATTTGATAGTATAGTATTTATATTTATTTTCTAAATAACTTATTTCTTGAGAATAAGTAACTTTTTTATATGCTTCTTTAAGTATGTGAATTCTATTTTCTTGATAGATTAAAAGAAAGAAAATATTAGTTGGCTTATTTTTAAATATTTATATTTAGCAAAAAGTTTAACATTTGATCTAAAAAAATTGATAATTATTCTCTTAATACAAAATTTTTTTGATAAATTTTTTTTTTGAATTTCTTGACAAGAATCTATAATTCAAACAGAAAAAGAGCACACATTAGAAATATAAAGTTGAATATTTTTGATCAGTGAGTATCAGTTCACTAAAATATTAGCTTAATTAAAGATAATGTTGCAATATTGTGATACTTATTTATCACCTATTGCAACTTAAATTTTAATAATATTATAATTCATTACAATATTGTGATGCTTATTTGTCACCTATTGTAACTTAAATTTTAATAATGTTGTAATTCGTTGCAACATTGTGATACTTATTTGTTACTTATTGCAACTAATTAAGGTATCATCTTTAAATTTAATAAATCTAATGATATTCTAAAAGGCTATATATTAATATAGAATAATAGAGATTATATTAACCAGTTTTAAGCAAGAAAAACTCATATTTTAAGAATTTATAGAGAAAAAAGTAAAAAAG